GAGAGAGAGAGAGAGAGATTTTTTATGTATAGGTCCTTTGGATCAATTTCTGGTAGTGTGTTGAGGATAACTTGTTTTTTTTTTTCATTTTGGTATTTTTTCCTTTTTTGTTATTTTTTTTTTTTTCATGTTGCTTCATGTTTGCGTTCTTGCGACGAACATCTGTGTACTGAAACGACCTCCTTTCTTTGGCCAACGCTATATGCGGCATGGCATTCAAAGGGCGCCTTGCAATGCAGACGTCTTTGTGCATGCCTGTCTGGGAGGCTCCAATGGGCTGGGTGGTAGGGGGTGGTAAGTTTTTTTTTTTTTTTTTTCGGCGTTCCGCCTTCATGTGATGGCGGGGGKGTTCGTCGCTGCGGGGGKGTGTTTCAGGGGATACTGCTCAATGACAGCACGTGTGAGGGACAATGGGATGCGAACGCATTCATCCCACGAAGGCATCCCCTTCGGCATGCCCCCACCCACGACCACATCACCGACCAGTAGACGGCCCCTGTTCCATACCGCCGAACGGTGCCTTCGACACGTGCGCCTTCGCGTTATAAACTTTGCGGGCGCCCATCCACCGATCAGAGAACACAGCAGTCCAGCGAAGGGGAAAAGGGGGAGGGAGTCTAATCAGGGCGAAGCTGCTACCGCCGTCAAGCGGGGGAGGCATCAGGGGAAGAAGGCGAAGGCCTCAGGCGGCGGCGCCCTGGTAATTGGCAGGGCCGCGCGGGAAGAGTGGATCACGGAGGGCAGCAACGACGAGGACGATGATTTCGAACCGGAGGCGGACACGTTTCATGGCGTCAAAGGGAGCTCGCGCGAACAAACCGCCGCGAGAATGATCAGCGGAGATGAGGGGGGCAAAGGCGGCAACGAAGGGGGAGGCGTGAACGTTGCGCGTGGTGACAACGACGCAGGGGGCGACGTGGCAGCCGGTGGTGGTGGCAGGGACGATCGGGGCCGCCAATTGACCCCGACGACGCGCAACCCCGTGCAAGCAAGGGACGTCCCCGCGGCGCATGAGATTGGCAGACAACAGCCGCTGCGGGCGTCGTCGACCCAGGCGACGCCAGCAGCGGGACAGGCGAGAAGGGAGGAGGGGGCGGCGGTGACTGCAGCAAGCAGGCCCCAGCCCCCCGAACGCAGCGGAGTGAAGGATGTCGCGGCGGCGGGTGCCATTGCTAGCACGTCGACGGGGGGAGCGGGAGGAGGCGGGGGCGACGGCCGTGATGGTGATGATGACGACGATCCGCTCATCAACAGGCAGAGGCGAACGGGAGGCGTGGCGGCTCTGGAGACGAAAGCATGGCTGTGGGTCGACGATCATCGTTTCTGGAACGAGACGGAGGGGCATGGGCTAGTGAAGATGATACATGAAACTCGCCTGCACCTCCTGGCCATCGCGAAGGGTGTGAAGCCGCCGGAGATCAGAAAAAGCATCGTGCTGCCTAACTCCACGATCCCTCTGCAGAAGATGGAAGACGAGTCCGAGCTACAGGCCGCCAAGGAGAGGGCTGGGAGGGTGCAGACGATAGCGTTGCGCATCATCCACGGGTGGCTCTTTAAGTCCCCCAATCGCGCACGCGGTTATCACTGCGCGTACGGCTATGTGCTCAACCACGTGGCCACATACCTGGGCCGCGCCATCTGGTTGGGAGAGGAGTGGCGTGTTTGCGTCAGTTCCGCGGTCGTCCACAACACTTTGGAGGCTCGTATGAAGGTCCCCATATGGTACGTTGGCGGCATCATACACGACAGGCACGAGGACGATGAGATGGCGTCGTATCAGGAGTCCACAACGCAGCGTCTTGTCGGAGCTTTCACTAATGCTATTGACGTGGGGGAGGGGGTGGACGGCGGTCGGATTTCATACGAGAGGTTGAGGAACGTCGCGGACTGCATGCGCCTTTTGCTGTCTGCCGCCATGTGGATCATGCGGATGGCGGGTGATAATCTGCGCTCTCACTACGAGGCCTCCCATCTGATGGAGGTAGTCGCGAAACCGACACTCATTGCGTCGCTTCATCGCTCKTTCGACGCGCGRCGCCATGTTCTGCAGTGCGTGAACGCCGTGACGGAGAAAATGGGAAAGCCCCCAATGACGTTGGTGGACTCTCCTTTGTACATCCCCGACTGGGTTTCTTGCGGGGTGACTTTCAACAACGACGCGACGTTGGCGTCGCCCGATCTCGCCAGGAGACTGGATTGGATGGGCACCGGACTGCCCGAGATCGACGACGAAGAGGAGGAGAAGGCAGACGAGGGGGAGGCGTGAACGCTGGTCGCGGACTGCATGCGGCGACGGCGGTGATGCGGATGATGGTGATGATGATGGCGATGATGATGATGATGGCGACGATGATGACGAAGGCGGCGGCGATCAGACCAACGATGCTGATGATCAAGACGGCGCCGACGATGATGATGATGATGCTGACGACGACGACGACGATGATGACGATGGTAATGATGATGAAGGCGACGACGATGATGATGATGATGATGATGACAAAGACGAGGACGACGATGATGACGACGACGACGATGATGATGATGATGATGATGACGATGATGATGATGATGATGATGATGATGATGATGATGACAATGATGATGATGATGATGATGATGATGATGATGATGATGATGATGACGATGATGATGATGATGATGATGATGATGATGATGATGATGATGATGATGATGACGATGATGATGATAATGATGACGACGATGATGATGATGGCGCAGACGACCGTGTTCGGTGGTCGTCTACTGTGAGGATCGGTGCTCATACACGTCGTCGCCATATCCCGCGGGCTTTCCTCAACCCAGTGCAATGCAGCTAGTGGCCCACCTCTTTTGGCACGCCGCTGGTGCAGCTTCGAAAATCATTTTGATGTTTATGTACAGTGTCGTGTGCTTTATAATTTGGAAACGTGTTGTTCTTCTTTCTGTCTCTTCAGCCCGGTTCGACACGTGGTCTTCTTTTGTGTTGGCATGCTTCCCGAACGCAAACCGATCGATCCTTCCCGTCCTTTGTATATTGCTTTTTTTTTTTTTTTTTTTTTTTTGTTATTTTTTTTTGAGTTTTTTTTTTTTTTTTTGTTTTTGCTTCACTTGTTTTCGGAATTGCATGTGAAGATAAATCTTCGATGACCATTGATCATTGTCGTTTGCATATCGTTGTATTTTATCACAACACGCACTCATACACCAAACACTGGCAACCCTAGGACGAAGACGCAGACGAATGAAGGCAGACACAAAACTCTTTTTCTGCGTCTTAACTTCCATTTGTCTATATGAACACATGTAAACACCATTTGATTGCGCTCGCAGACTTCTTTTTTCACACGTCAGCATGCCATCCATGCAGCAGGGAGTGCGTAGAAGAGGAAGGAAAACAGTCGCCAACAACCAATAACACTTTCCGATCACAACCCAACAATCACCAAACTCTTGCGAATTATAAAAACACACCGCCGACATGATTGCTCTCCGTAGAACGTCCCGAACGAGCCCCAAGAGATGCACACGACTGCCGCTCGCGACAGACAGCAACTCCATCTCAATGCCATCAACTAATCACACCAACCGGCCACCGCCGCCGCTTCCGCCGCCCAACGACTCGCCCACACTAACAGGGAACGCCCCACTATCAACGCACCAGCCCGAAGCCGCGGATCGAAATACGAAAAGGAAAAACTTCCGACAAACTAAAAAACGGACGGCATATGGCGCGGGGACTACGAGGCATGACTGTCGCTCTCCGCTCTGCGTCCCCCACTGCTGACCGAAAATTGGACGGCATGGCACATGTACTGCGCCCGTCGTCTCTCCGCACATTGCTTCCTCCCACCGCCGCCGTCAAACGTTCCTCCATCAACGCGGCCCGCAGCTCCCGCCGCCTCGCGAGGTCCCTCTGCCGTCATCGCCGCATCATTCGCTCCGCCAGCGCCTGCCGTAGCATGATCGCCTCCCCCGTAGAAGTTTCCATGCACAACGGCCTGGGTGGGGCGATGGATCCCGAGATCCACCCGACGGCGAACTCCATTGGCGTCAACCTCCCACAACAAGTTCTCGTCGAAAGGGATGCCGGCGTCCATCAGGATGTTGTGCAAGATGCAGACGGCCAAGAACTGTTGGGGCAAGGTCTCCATGTTGGTCTTGTGCGAGCCTAGGAACAAGCGCCACATTGCTTTCAGTCTCCCGAACGCTCTCTCCACTGCCCCCCTCGCGGTCTTCTGCTTGCTGTCGAAACGACTCTCCAGGGGATGCTGCGCCACGCCGCCAAACGGGACAACCATCCATTCGCTCGACGGGTAACCATTGTCGGCCAGCAGATAACCATTCGTCTGCACTTGGAACGGTAGCAGCACAGGAGGCCCTGTAAACAACTCTCCCGCCGCCGCCCGCGACCATAGAGTGGAGAGATGGATGATCCGGACGTCGTGGCAGCTCCCCGGATATCCCACAAACACGTCCAGGATGCCCAAGTCCAAGTCGACCACCACTTGAGCAATGACAGAGAAGCGTCTCTTGCGGTCGTAGTAGTCTTCTGAAGGTGCATTTGCCGGCTTGTCCACGTAGATATGGGTGCAGTCGATGCACCCATGGCAGTTCGGGAAACCCTTGTCTGCAAAAGCACGCAGAACGATCGCCTTCCGCACACCGGTCGGCCACGCTACCTTCTCCCTGTACACCGAAAGCAGCGCAGCAGAAACGTCCCGGACGGCCACCAAACCTGAAGCCCTGCCAATCCCAAAGCTGTAGCTGCTGCTCTAGTATGTCTCGCCCGACGCCCACCTGTACAGCGCGTAGGCGACGATCTGGTCTGGTTGCAACGGTTCCCTATAGAATGTCACACGTCGCTGGAGAATCGGCGACAAGTTCTCAACGATCTCGCGGAAGACACGTGGAGACATCCGTAACTTGTCGCGGAAGTAATCGATAGTGGCGTCGTCCGCAGGCCGGAGATCCTCCCAAGTCCCCCCCGTTCTCCTTTTCACCCACCACCTCGGCGTCGCCCTCGGTAGTCCCCCACACCCTAGTGCACAGCACACCTCCAACACGGCATCACAGATGGCAGCGCTATCCAACGCTTCAGTCGTCGCGGCCGGCATCAACTTCCTTCTCCGAGCACGTAGTCGTGCCCATCGCCGTTGACCTTCGACCTCCATGTCGCAATGCATGATGACGGCGGCTACGGCAGACGTCACGGCAACCCTCTCCACAGCGGACAACCCGGCCCCGACGTCATCCCCATCACCCACTCCACGCACATGGACCACCTCAGACATCGCAGTCATCCTCGCGGAGTGAACTCGCCCAACACTCCACCGGACGCCCCCAGCAATGGACACTGCCCACGAGCAAGTTGGCGGAGATGGCGGCCGTGCCGCGGTGCGTGAAGACGAACGAGCAAGGCGGAACGCGACGCTCACAACAGTCGACGGAGGGCCACGGAGAGCCATCTCTTCAAATACGTGTGGAACATTGTGCTGACGCCACAACGGCTAGCGGCTCCCTCGTGTGACGCCCACTGCAAAACCCCTCAGAGTCCCCCATGGGGTCGCCCCAAGGTACCCGCATGTCCCCGCGGAACCACACCGCACGGCATGGTCGGCCAATTCGAAATTTGAATTTTGAAAGTGCACGCGCGCGCGCGGATTTTTTTCGTCATTGCGGCGGCGGCAGTCCCTTTTCGAATTCGAAGGCCGAACGCGGTGGACCAAGGCCGCTCGCACGGACACCGGACGATGGACCACCGCCCAAACTTTCGTCCCGCGGCCAGTCCTCCGAGCATCCTCGGGCGTCGTCCCGAGGGAGCAGTGGAACGAAAGCTGGAAATTCCTCGGGCTGCCCCGAGGATTTCCCCTCGGAGCCCGAGGACGCGCCGAGGAGTGTCTAATGAGCCCCGAAGAGACTCCTGTAAATGGTAAAATTGGCTGACCTAGTTAAATCAGAGGATTGGCTCGGGCGCCATGATAACACGCAAACTGTGCAGGTTTTTCTAGGCAACGATTGGCTCAACTGATTTCCAAAGGGTTTTCCAAGCGCATTTGGTCCTCCACGGTGGGGTCCCCGCAAAACTGCTTTCCGGCTTTCCAAAATTCTTTGCCCGTTTTTTTTGGCGGGCGGTTTTTCCATCCTTTTTCCAGTGGCGTCCAGACCAGATGCTAGAGAAACCCTTAGGAAGTACAACCATGTTCTTTTTTTTTTTTTTTTTTTTTTTTTTTTTTTTTTTTTTTTTTTTTTTTTTTTTTTTGTTCTCCCAGGCAACACAGACATCAATGATCTTCATCTTACCATGTACTCAAGCATTCATGCATTCATGTATTCAATGGGACGCTGGACCCGTTTTCCAACAGGTGATGCTCCCCACAAATAGATGGAGCCTGGTTAAACTGGAAAAAAAAAGAAAAAAAAAGGGTCCAAGCCAGATACTGGCTCTATCACTTAGTGAGGGGCGGTTGCTGCCCTCCGGCCGCTTTGGAAGCCCTCGGGCTGCTTGCTTCGGCCCTCCCTCTTTTTCGCCAGGAATTAGGGGCTCGTTTGACACTCCTCGGGCGCGTAAATTCCCCGAGGAATTGTCCGTTCCACCTATCCTCGGGGATGCAGTCAGAAAAAAAAAAGTGAAAACACTCCGAACACTCCGAAGGAAAAATTCCTTGGGCTCCGAGGACTCCGCAGCCATTTCTTCCTTTTGCCCAAGGGACCTCACGAGGTCCTTGGGCAAAAGGAATCCGCGTTTCACGGAGAGGAGCGGGCACATGGGTAGAGAGACGTTACAACCGAGAATCTGGATCGTGGCGGCACCCTATTGGCTGAAGGCCTCAAATACATTTGATTTTTTTTTTCTTTTTTTTTTCTTGTCTGACATCGCTCCAAGGAAATGTCCTCGGGCGACGTTCCCGAGGACAGGTGGAACGATGGCGGGAATTTCCTTGAAAACCCCCAAGGAAACTTCCTTGGACCCCGAGGACGCCCCAAGGAGTGTCAAACGAGCCCCTATATGCAAGCGATGGTGCTCGTTAATTGGCCCATGGTAAACTGTTTTTGTTAACTAGGGAGTTGAGTAATCATGGGATTGGGTTGAATTTGCTTTCAATTAGGGGATTGTTTGCTAATTAGTATTTGGACTGTAATCGAGTTGAGATCTTGGAAGCGTTGTTTTGTTTTGCGTTAGTTGGGTTTGTGGCTTTCAAAAATTAGGAGTAATTGGAATTCGTTTTTTTTTTTTTTTTTTTTTTCCTTTTTTTTTTTTGAAAAATCATCGCTGCCGGGCGTAGGAGGGATGCTGGTAAGAGCAGACACCCCTTCTACTGACCCGTATATTGGATGGCTCCATTCTATAGGTGGGGAGCTGCACCTGCTGGAAACCGGGTCCAGCGTCCCATCACATCATGAGTTCGAGCCATAACACGTCATACGTTGTCCTTAGCCAAGCCCACCCTTGTTCAATCCCCACTCCCCTATTCCCATGCCCTTCAGCCGATTACATTGTAAATCAGAGACAAAACACATCGTAGCGTGTCCTTTAGTTGGTCACAACCCATAATTGGAATTCGTAATTAGGGGATAGGATCCATTTTGTTTGGTGTTGGGATCTTAGGTTAGGTGTTGTTTTTAGTGAGAATTTAGGATGCCGTGGTTTTCGTGGTGGGAATTTTGTGTTTGCTTAATTAGGGTTGTTATGGTGGGCTGCGGCTAGGGATAGACTTGACAATGGCTGAAAGTGGCTTGTTTAGCGCATACGGCCATAGCATGTCATGTAAGGGACGCTGGGCCCGATTCCCAGCTATATGAAATATGAAATGGATTTGTTCGGTTGAGAGCTGGGTTGCATAGCTGCCCACCGCCGACCCCGACTGCCGACCGTTTTGCAGCCGACCAGTAGGGCGAACTGGTCGGCAGTCTGCAGTCTGCGTACCAGTCAGAAAACATTCATCCACTGATTGTTTTTCAAATCTGAGTTGGAGGCTGTGCTGCACTTGCTGAGTACAGCCCAAATCCACTGAGAAACTTTCGGGGATGGGCAGGGGTATAGGGGGTAATATAGGGTTGGTATAGGGGGTATTGGGGGGGGTATGAGGGTGTTGGGGGGCGGTTTTGAGGTTTTGAGGGGGTGTATGGGGGTATAGGGGGCAGGTATGGCCCTATGGGGGGGTTGGTGGGGCGAATGGGGTTAATGGGGGTTCTGGAATTCATTTATTTATTTATTTTTGTGGGGTGCCGACGACCCCCGACCGGTAGCCAGCCGACCGGTCGGCAGCCGACCAGTCAAGGGGTGCCGACCGTCGGGGTATGCAACTCTGGTTGAGAGGGAAAAAAACAAAAAAAAAAAGAAACATGGGAAGCAATCCAGGCCTCGGTCATTTCAGGGCATTCTCACGCAGCTCTTTCCAGAATGTATCTGACTGCACTTCTGGCCAGGCCTGGAGTGGTTCACGAGTGAAAACAAGAAGACGGCTGCCGCATTTTGTTCCAGCTGCTGGCAGCAGGTCCAACATAAGGGGTGGTACCAGTGCCAACCAACAAATTTCCTCAACCGGTTCCCACCCCCTCAGGCTCGCCAAAGGCTGGCGCACAAGGCATATTCAGGCTGGGCATGACTGACTGGGCAAAGTACTGGTGGTTTCAGGCCTCAGTCTGTAACCCTTAACCTTCCGTCTTCCCTAATTTCATCACCCTTAATACACCTTTCTCCCAGGCCCGTGTTCCCTTTTTTTTTTTTTTTTTTTTTTTTTGGAAAAAACGACCCGAGCGGAGGCTAGGAGTGCTGATAAGAGCAGACACCTCTAGCACCACCAGGGAGGCTCCATCTATTGGTGGGGAGCAGCACCTGCTGGAAAACGGGTCCAGTGTCCCTTGGATACAACTTGTAATATAATGATTGTTGGGCATATGGCCATTGGAGTTCTTACTGCAGAGCCCCATTATTTCCCACTGGGCTCCATGTATTATCCTTCCAATTTATAGGGTTCCTACTTCCTGGTGGCCAAGCCCCACCCTGGGTGGTGTCTGCCTAGTGTGTGTGTGTGTGTGTGTGCTGTCTCTTATACACATCTAGATGTGTATAAGAGACAGCACTGTGCTCGTGAACCC